CGAACAAAAATGAGCAAGAGATACTTTACCGTTAGTTCTAGCATCAAAAATTAGAATTTTAATTTCATTTCTTGGTCATGCATCTGTTAGGCAGCAACAACAAATAAAAAAGGCAACCAACTTGGTGTCCGCTGAACTCAAGTAAGCCAAGAATTCTAATAACTCTTCGTCCCAAAACACATAAATGCGACAAATTTGGCAGCCAAAAAAAACCTCTTAGCTGTTCTGAAATGGTCTGTAAATTTCAAAAAGGTATAGAATTTATTCACTGCGCTGACCAGTTACAACAACCTTCGCTACTAATTACGAATTTCTGCGGTAACAAAAGCAGACTGTATTTCACGGCACAAATAAGTTAATACCAGTCCAGATTTGTGGCAACTTCTCCGTGCATATTCTCTGGTGGCGAACGAATGCTTTCAACTTCTTTGTTTCTATGCATTTTTCGAAGTTTAGATGCACTCCCAAACTTATCATTTGAACGATAGACTCTCTGATCCTTCAGGCTCAACTGTCCTGTGTACAGGTCCTTCAGCTTAATTGAATGCACAAGGTTTGAAAGAAGACAACAGAATAAGACCAAATTGAACTTCCTCAATTTGTTTGTGGTTTAAAACAAAATTCAACCATTCACCAGAAGAAGACTAGAATGACTAAAACCAAGAATGCCAGTTCGCAAAGGATGAAACAAGTTGTCCAGTTCTGCAAAACTGCCTGCCTCATTCTCCTCGCCTCTGATTCAGACCGTCAGCATCGTACCTCCATAAATCTTTACTAATACCTCAAGTCCATTCTCTGAAAGCTACATCAAGTCCTGAAGTAAAATGCAGTACAAGTTCCACCCAACGGTACATTTCACCGTGCAATTTTCGGCTACGCAAAAAAAGCTGAAAAAAAGAAAAAACGTCTTTCAATTTCTCTGCTCCAACATACAGATTGCGTAACCACTGCAAAGCGAAATCTTGCACGCATTTACACAGTACACTCACCAGCGTATCAAACCCGTCTAACGTTGCGAGCAACTAAGTAACTAATCAAAATGAAAGGCCTGCGCCGTTACGGTAAAATCCTTCCTAGGATTCAAAACGGGACATGATGACGGGCTTATCTTGCAGCAATTGCATGACGCGCTCCGTTCGCGCGAAGAACCATCTGATCCCGGATTCCCAGCAAAACAGCAACCACATTCCCACACCTCCTTCTGCTCACGGCGGTTGCGTGCCGTCTCTGATGCCTCATGGAAATCGAATGTCTTCTGCTTCTTCTGTACAACATCCGCTGGCAAGATACTGGCGGCTAACAGCTACTGAAAATGCAAGCCTGCCCACAGAAAGGAACAGAATAAAATTTCATTTCCTGGAGCCAAGTTCCCGCATACATGCTGAAGGTGCGTTAACGAGCGAATTATGCAATACTGGTTCATAGGATTTATGGAGCATTTTCTTCCAAAATAGTAAAAAGCTAGTAGAACGACTATAACATAACAAAGCTTTTCAACAACGCAGTTTCTGTAATAAAAAATAACTCATGAAACTGCAAAACTATACACCAAACATATTAGTAAAATCAGCCAATCTTCATTGACAAAGATGAGATACTAAATAATAATACAGCATCTAACGAAACTACTCGAACTACTCTACATTCTTCAAGAGACTGTCATCAACAGTGAAGTCCTCTTCAGCACTTGCCCTACTCGTTTGATGAATGACATGGAAATTGTCTGCTACAACCGTAGCCCGATTCGACTTCGTCCCATCAGCCAGAATAACTGGCGTGTAATGTAACCTGCCGCTTAAATAAATCCGTTTACCTAAAAAAAAATTTTATTCAACTTTTACACAGCTTGTGGAAAGTGATCTAGAAACAGAAGTTCACAGAACCTTTTGAAAGCTCGCGTTTTGCTAAGTCAATGCCGACAAAGAAAACAACGGAATGGAATTCTGGTCCCTGTTCCAAGAGTTCCCCTAAAATGTCGCTGAAATAAGCTGCGCATCTTCTAATAAACAACTGCAATGGAAACACAGAGGAATAAAAAGTACACAAAAACTCATGCTCAAAAAAAAAGGGCAAAATGAATGTTACCTTTGTAAATACAAATTATAAGGCTGTTTGAGAACGTCAGGAATACTTTTTCATCAAAAAATGAAGAAAATAGAACTCACCGGAAGAAGAACGGAAGGCACGGTTTGTAACCAAAGTTATTCCTACAAATTCTTTGCCGTTCTTTCCTGTCCGCACTCTTACATCGTTAGCAATACCTCCTATCAACTCAACTCGATTCATACTGCAAAGAGTGAGAAACAACTAATTCCACTCGGAACAACATACCACAAAAAAATGATATTCAAGTGTGTAATTTGGAACCGCGACCAGTGTAATGCAAAAAAAAAAAGAGCACTTCACCTATAGCCACCTTTTCTACGAGTTAATGGTGCGGCTGACTTCGTTCCCCCATCGTCAGCAGCAAATAATTTATTAATTTCTTCTTGAGAGACCTCAGCTTGAGACTTCGACGAGACAGAAAGAGGTTTTAACTGGATCTAAAACCCAAGTATTAATTCTTCTTGTTATGACTTATATCAACTCCAGTTAATAGTCAACAATTACGCTGAACTGAGAGATGATACTGTAAGATACAATAATTACCGATGTAACTGAGCATTCCTGGCTTCAATCTAAACCCTAGTTCAACAAAAAAAGTATCGAAGGCAAGCAACATCAAATCTTCAAAATGCATTCAACTAACAGCACTGTGGATGATAAACCAAAAAACAATTGCCCAAAAAACCGCACTTTACTTATATCAACATCTTAAACATTAATTTAAAAATATTAGGTCTGGTCATAAACTACATTATTCATCCTTATCCTAAAAACCTTGAGAGCTTTCATCTGACTACAGTCCTCCTTTTTCTGGAAAGGTCTTAAACTTGCCCTGATCTAATAATGTCACAAAACTGTCCCATTCTTACCAGCACAAGTACA